CGTAAAAGTGTCCCTGTTTTCTGGCCTTTGACTCCGCAGTAATGCATGCTTCTCAGTGCGCTTGAAAGGGGTTCGGATGCACTTTGCTTGTGGCAGCTTGAACGATTGCTGCGCTGGCTGAAAGTTTGTTCTCTATGCGCTGCCATTCTTTGGATTTGTGTCAACAGTTGTCTGTTTGGAAATATCGTGATGAGAACGTCTAGGGCTGCCAGTTTCGTCTTGCCTTGTGAACTGGTTATATATAGACAAACGCGATGCTTATTAGTTGATTTGTTAGTCGTAGCTCATTCATTTCGATACTGGCGAAGTTGTCGTCCATGTAGCGCATGCATATCTTGAGATAATTTTGAGATCTTGAGATACTGAGATCTTGAGATATCTTGAGATAATCTGTACAACCCGTTTTGGGTTTTTAATTACAATCTTCGTAATTGCTCATAATACTCTCCGTTTCAGTTCAAATTCGTCGTCAGGCATAAGCCAAGCAACTCACAGGGGTTTTCTTTTTTTCATAGGTCTATTTCGTACATCGTGTCAATCAAGTAGTTTGGTCCCTGCAGAGTGTAGGTCTACAGAATGAACAGTGCGTTTATGTCGAAGAAACCATCCTCTTGAATGTTTATGTTCCTCAGTTTGCCCAAGAATTACCCTGCAGTGTTGACTGCGTTGTGACCCACTGATTAGATATTTGAATCTCCTCAACAGTTGATTAGACCGGTTGTAAGCTGGGGTCCCCGAAATGAATACAACTGACCGTAGCTTCAGTGTCTCAGTGTGCAGTTTCAGGATCCATAGAAGCGTCAAATGACCGAATTGTGAGCTGACACTATTCGTTACTATTCCCTTGTGGTCCACCAAAGCCCTTGGAATTTCATCAGGCTTCTATGGATTCAGTGGCATGGAAACATCACAACCGAGAGATTCAACTGGGTTCCAGGTGAGCCTCTCGAGAAACCAAATTACTCCGCAAATGAGTGTGTATTCGCTAATTTGGTGCAATATGAGCCCCAAGAATGGCGAAACCGGTCGTCGGCTGTCGAGGAGTTTTCAGCAACCTTATGAGTAGTGCATTACAAAATTCTATGGATTTTGTTTGCAAGTTTTTTCGCTTTGGTCATTCCCCATGCGACGAGACGTAGTTGTGTCGTCTGGTAGAGCTTTAACTTTATTAATGTAGTCCGGCACGTAAGTGATAGCGGTCAGGCGTCCCGTGTCTCCTTCCAGGATATTTTGTGTTGCAAACTGAATGGAATTTTCTGTAAGCTGCGCAAAACCTATTTAAAAATCAAGTAAAAACTGCCAGTCCACAACGCATCTGTAGTGATTTATTCTTGGGTTTGCTGGTGGGTTGCGCAATACGCAGGTCATACAAAAACATCTTTCTTAGAGGATCGAAGAACTTCTGCCATCCAGTACTACAATAAGAGCTGTCAAACATAATCCAGTTGTTATTTTTAGGCACCAATTTGCAATAAAAATACTCCTTTTGAAATCATGAACAGTGCCCCGCAGAACAGAATAAAGATACTATCCACAACCGATTAGTTGGGTGTCCGCCCGTTTGTATCGTCAATGCGCTCACAATATCTACCGACCGAAACTAAACTAATACAAACACACAGGCAATGTTACCCAATGTCAGTCGGAGGTTGCATTTCTTTCTCTTGTAACCAACTGTTATATTTATCTTGTGGTGCTTCACCAATTCACGTCACGCTTAATTTTTTGTGAGTACTGGCATTCCTGATGCGTAGGGGACATTTGCTACTACCGTGTTCCTGATCACACCACTGTGATCTCATCGAAAGCATGCGGTGACAAAGTTTTTTGTTTGTGCTGAAGTAGTGACTGTTGCAGAAAACCTCACTATTCATGCAAATATTTGACAGGCCTGCATGGATATGCACACAATCATTGGTGGTTCGAGCATACGGTAATTTGAGATGATGATGGATCAGTTATTTCACCGGCGCCAAGCATTGATCCGCATGCATTTCACTTATTATCCTCAGGGTATAACTGAGCTTCCCACACACTAGCAGAGGTCCACTCAACCGCATTTATTCTTGAAACCTGGTTCCCCTAACTTCTCATCCATTCATCATTTAGCTAACTACTGTATCCTACGTAAGAAAGGATTCAGCGGTTGGAGTTTTCACAATTAGGTTCTGATACGGACCGATTGATGTCGAATCCCTGGGCAACACCTGCCTCCTTTACAGCGTTATATCCTTACTTGGGGCGAATGAATATGGGGCTCTCAGTGAAATTTGGTGATTCTCACGAACCAATGCAGTCACTATATTCGCTTGAGTTAAACAAAGTTTGCTGTTTTAGATATTAGGAGATCAACACAACTGACTTCAGTTGAACAAGCGCAAACGACCTGTTGGATAGATGAGGTATAGCACCACACCAATACAGTATTGCGTTAAATACACTGACATAATTTCAAAAGTTAGCGTTCACACTTCGGCCAATAAACCCATTTCCAGCTAGTTCAGATTCTGTTGTGCTCAAGCTGTATGTATGCTGATGGTCAGAATGTACTTGAAAAATTCCAGCACTGCGTAGCTCATCCAGCTTCACTGATGAGAGGTGCCCGCACTGGCGCCGGAAGAACAGAACGAAGGCACAATTCACAATTCTACTTGTAGCGTGATAACATCAGTATTTATGTCAGTCATAACCTGTAGAATTCTTTTTTGGGGACGCTCTTCGGGAAAAAATTTAACTTCATCTCCCAAGGTGGTGTTGACTTGCTTTCAGTGGACAAACTTTACAGGCGTGCGCAAGGGTTTCATGCAGAACGTACTGAGCTTAAGGTAGAGGTGAGCCGAAATATAAAAGCTGTATAGTTTCCAGGGGCGTCCATAAACATGCCGAAAAATCCTTTAGGGCGGATATGATCACTGACCTTAGGTAGTCGAAGCAGTTTACTGTGTAGTCGATTAACGAAGTGGTAACCATACTTTTCTTTGTGGGCATATGAAACGTCCTCGGTCTTTAACCCCTGATTCGGATCTATACTTTGCCCCAAACAAGCATAAACAGAGACGCATTTAGCATTATTCTCAGTTATTTGAAACCAAGCTTTGTTTATGCGTCACAGTCAACTGCTCCGCCGTGTAAAATTTACCTTTCAATTCGAAGATGGAGCCTTGATATACCCGGGAATCATTTGACTTCGTGCAAAGAACAATCGTGCACGGTGATGTTTTGCACACAGATTACCACTTTTCCAAAAACAGCAGCAGGAAAAGTTGACCTCAAATGCTGTGATCATTCTCAGGATATCATATATACGCCAATGGTAGAGCATAAGTGAATTGCAGGGTTTCAAGCATTCCTATCGATGTGATNCAGCTTTATAGAACGACTTCTACCAGAAAAACAGTGAGAGTGCTAAAGAAACATGAAAAATCAGAGGTGCAGACATGCCAACATACAGCTTTTGGTGTTACTGACCGACAGAATGGATTGCCTGACAAATGAGTAGTTTTTGACTGGGGATTAGAGACCATCTGAACTTAAGTGTTTGTATGTGTTCGTTCTGTGGACACATGTGTTCAACACTTTAAGTCAATTGATTCGATGATGGCCATAGAATACTGCGGGACTCGATTTGAACTTGCTTTCAGTACATCTGATGTCCCGTTTCAAGTACAAAAAGGTGACAGCCTGGTGATCGGTGTTGATGGCTCAGGTGTCGATGAAGCCTGAGGGTTCTGGGATATTAGTGCGATGAACTCATCCCCAAAATAGTCGATCAGTTGCCGCACAATGTAGAGACCTCTCCCAAGTTAATGTTAGAAGAGTTGATATAGGGAAATACGCATCGGTTGGTAAAGTCCAAACAAAGGTGATTCAGCTTTTGTCGGCGAGTGTGTTCTAGGACTGGTGCTGTGGAAAATTGACGTTATCAAGTACCATTCTTTTTATTTTAAAAGTAGCATTAAAAAGTTTTAAAGTAATCCCACCGGAAGAACTGCGTTCAAAAAAGAGGAAGAACATTTTATTGCACCCACTGAAATTGACTGGGATTCAATTCCGGAGAATTATCAAGGAATAAGGGGTTCCCCGAATAAATCCTGCTTGGAGGTAAATTTAACCATGGGCGGCACGTATAATTACAAATAAAACTTGTAAAAATGGAAGTTTAATATGAAAGCCGAAAACCAAACTAGATTGATGGTTGATTAAGTCCTAAAACTGCCTTTGTTTCCAAACTTACCGTTAACTAGAAATGGCCAAAATCAATTATAGGAAAGTTCCAAAGAGCATTTAATTAGGAAAAGCTGTTCAAATGAGTGGTAACAACACCAGTTGCGACAAATCTGGTCACTGGCTTGCTGAACTGAGAGATTGGGAATATTGAAACCGGACATAATGAAAGGGCACTAAATGCTTTATTGCAAGTGGATCAAAACAAATGGCTAAAAAATTGTCTTCCAATTGTCAGAAATCTTAGTTTTATGGAGAAAAACGAAACTATAAGGAAAAATTGATACACAGCATTGACCATATTCACTCTCCAGAATACCCCTTATGACCGTGTATCATCCAAATTTATCTGGCTAAGTTTATCTGGCTCATATCTTCGTAACTTTTGAATTTATTTCTACTATACGAATTTCAATATACGAAGCTAGAACGGCACTGAGAGGAATCGGCAAGGTTTCTTATCGAAATCCTAGTAATGTTTTCAAGTGAGAACAAATTGAACCTCATAGCATGAGGCTCACTGATGACATGTTGATGCTAACTTTCACACAGGTTTGTAAAATTATATTCGAAGTCAAGTGTAAATGTAGAGTAAGTCCGCAATGATCTCAAGATACAGCTGGAATCCAGGATCATCAGAAAGAAGACCAACAGGCGGATTTTCGATTGGCTACGTTACACCGTACACAGGAGATTTCCATCAGTAAAAGGAAACTCCTGGTTGGCTAAAGAGAACCAGTAAGTATTTCAGCCGGAATTGTGGAACAAAGAAAGAAGTTCATGCTTGCATACGTTTACTGAGAAAAACCAGAGATCAATGGGTGCGCAGAGCCTTTTAACTGAGCAGTGCAATCAATACTGTTCGGGAAAGTGACAAATCCAGACAAAAAACATTTTACTTACTAACGCTCGAGAAAAATTGAAATGCAATGTGATCAAAATTGCATAAATATAGCCCTTTTATGTACAAAAGTTCACGCAAACTGAATATGAGTGAATTACATTTCTGATCTGCCCAGCTTTGCAGGGAATTTTTCCCTCTGTGCCGTGTGTATTTTTGCGTGTGCAGGTGCATGTATTTGCATGCGTTTGTCATTAGTCAATGAATGAGTGGGCAACCGGGTGAGACAAAAAACTCAGTTGCCATGCAAAACTGTGTAAAAGTGAGAGTACAAGAGTAATAGCTTTTGCAGATAGAGGCTCGATAAATAAAAAAAAACATGCTACATTTTGCTGGAACATCTATCAAAATTGGGCGAATTCTTTTGCACAGTAATTTGTATTTGTAATTCGTAGTGGTTCTTCTTCGTAATCATCGAAGTTGCTTGTATCACCAGGACCTTTGCAAGGCGGAATGAAAGGAGCGGTGGCCTGAAAAGTAAACAGTGGACAGTAGTTAGGTGTTGTGGGGCTAACAATGCATAGTCAATGCTCCAAGAAACTTCATGTCTGTCAATTAATCTGGCCAAGTCTGTTTTCTTACGCTTTTGCCCGATAGAGCTTCGCTTGACTGAGCAAAGCACAGCCAAACTGTTTGAGGAACAACAGTGTTCTCGGAAATCCTCAGATGACAGTTTCTAAATTCCCTTTGTTCAGAGTTCTTTTCGTATAGTTGGAGTGTTCTAAATGAACGTAAGCAGTTCCCATTTGAGGAAAATACTATTTACCGATAGTTACAAAAACTAGCTAGTGTTCTGATATCTTGGTTCAATTGGATGATCGAGCGAATGAGTTGCCTAGGATCTAAATCAATGAATACCTATACAAAATAGCTGGCTGCCTGTAAAAGGCACTTATTCGTCTAGCATGACTATAGCCTTGCAAACGTTTGTCACAGTTGTAGGAAGATTATCAGTCTTATGCGTGAAATACGCGTTCAGCTTGAAGAATAAACAACCATATAGCACAGAATCTCAGTGATCTCCATTATAATGCAAAGGCGGTCCAAATGTCACCTAGAGTTTGGTGGAGAGCTGAATTGACAGGGGTTATTCGCCCCAGGCTTTATACATGCGTTAGAAAGATGACACATACTGAAGTTTCAGGAAAAATTAGTTTTCTCATTAACTACGGGAACATATAGCTTTGTAACGTCCCGGTTGGTGGTCCAAGTGACTCATCTGTGTCAGTACGACACCGGGAATAATATGAGTTGCTGGAACGAGTGTCTAGATCGAGCCTGTCGTAATCAGTTGCACAGTCATGTTGACACAATCTTCAGCACACAGTTTGTCTTGATATTTCAATGCACAGATAGTAAGTGAAGTTTCTTTGTCCCACAAAAACGTTTGTTGGTAGTCTCTGCAACAAAGGGAAGCCTGTGTGATGAATGATATACAAGCGAATAATACTAAGCTTTTGACTGCGATAAGCTTTGTGCAAACGGCTATTCCTCAAGCTGATGTTTATGTGAGGCACACAGTAACTCAACCTCTGGTGACTCGGCCGGCTTGACGACCCCCTAAAAAGTGAAGGAGTGATGATTGCATGTCTGCACATGTTGACAAATCGTCCCTACAAATTATTTAATGACAATAAATGCCCTGACGAACTGGTGTCTGGAACAAATCCACCAGCAATATCTGATCAACATAAAGCTTATTAATGAGGCGCAAGCGGTTTGCACGAAGCACTTGGTAGCGGTAATGAACTGAGGTAAGATAGACGAGCAAAAGAGCTGAGACCCTGTGAGAATCACCCAACCTGTTTGCACGAGCACAACAATCAGCATCAGCCACTAAAGTCTTCCGTCAGGTCCTTAAAATCTTAATACAATACTGCAACTTCCCTCAAAGGACTCAGTGTATCAATGGTTTCTGGGGTATGTCCATTTCCAACCTATTCAAATAGAAGTAGACAAACCTATGGTACACAACCATTCCGCTTTGTACAGGCACTGCCATTGCCTTGCGTGACAGTAGAACCAAGCATTTGTTTCGATATCCGAGCATACTCGGCTTATGCAACTCCATGGTATTTTCATGGTGGTTTACTGTTTGTACTGTGTGTAATTGCGGGTCGTTTTGTAAGGTGGCTGACTTTCGTAAGATCTGAAAGCTTTCCTCACATTTGCCAGGAGGCTGCTGCGATAGTTAACTTAAGACCGTCTTCCATTTCGGGCCCCATTGCTTCCGTGACCGTAGATATACAGGTTTAGGTTATACGTACCGGTCGTACCTGATCTGTCGTGCGCAACTAACTGTGATTACGATTGCGTGTGATTCCAGTTTACTCAGTTTGTTTCAAGATTCGATCTGACCATTGAATGCAAATGATCCCAAGGCCTTGTGAGTTAAACTTCTCAAAACTCCCACTACGCTACCTCTGTAGCAGTAAACAAAGCACACTGACTCCGCACATTAGAAATCTGGATTTTACTCGCAGACTATGCTTAATTCAGATGAGTTTATTTGAGCCACCGCATTCGGACTATGCCAATGTAATCGGAGCGCGCAGTTTAGTGGAGTCTTTTGGCAAAGCGCTGCCGAGTTAGCGGAAATCTTTCCACGATGTTTTACTGCAGACATTGTATATCAGTGGATGCAGTACAACAGGCAGGGGTCCGTTCACTTATATGCCAAAGCGATGTATGTAGCGGAGAATTTACCGACGGTTGCTCACTTAATTCAACGGTGGCCAGCAAGATGTTCCGTTTAATATATCATGTTGTGCTGGTTTTAAGGGACTGATTAGATAGCAATGTGTAAATTCAAACTTGTATGATGTTTGAGCACTACTCAGAAGTTCGCATAATACCATGAGCTGTATATACTCTTCGTCTAGCCCTTCGGAAAAAGGAGGAAGAGCCCCGTGACCACGTATGCTTTTGGGCGGATTTAAGACGGCTCCATATTTTCATAGCGCTACCATGACTGTAAAGTCACCTTCTCTACTTCAGTTAATAAATAGTCATGTCGAATAAGCGTGTAAACCAGTCTCCCTTAAGAACATGCGATAAACATGAGTGGTAATTTGTAACCACATGTTAACAGCAACAGTCACAGCGTGTGGTCAGCCATCAAGTTAACCTGACTTAAAACCTAGGTTTGATCAAACCTAAAGGCTAATGCAGCACAAGTCCAAATAATCATCAGGTAGTGGAGTATGGAGCCACGTGTGATGATTATGACCCACTATAGGTCCGGGTGAATACACCACGCTGCAAGGATGGTCGGGGTGTTTACATCAACGAGTAGTGTTTCTACATTTCAATCTATGTATTTACTTATTGAAACGGACTGACTGGTTTTGATCCTTAAACAATGCCTGATCTGGTGACTGTCTGCAGGAATGTAAGCAGTATTAGACAGCTAGGCAAAGGAATGAACACGTGCAGCCAGCATGCATTCAGTTACTGCAGCGTTGTTCATTGAAGTGATGCATTAAGCATCATGCATGATGACATCTTGGTGTGATTAAATTGTGCATTGACCGGACCTTCGCTGATCGTATCAATTAAGTTGATCACTGGTTTTGTGTGTCGCAAACTGAATTCCTGCACCCGGTCCTGCGTTGACGCCCTCTGATATCAAGACAGCTAGCAGAGTTCTACCCAGTATTGACGGACAAATCCGTAACGGCCGCTAAATTAATAAAATTTGCATCATTTAATAAGCTTTTTTAACATTTTAGGAAGAATATGGGCTACCTTAGGAGAAAATCAATGAGACGTTCCGGGGAAGAGATAACATTTAGATAAAATCAGCTCTTATTTTTCTTTGTTTGTTACTAGGGGTTGAAAATTCCCTTAACACCTAATGAAAATTGTGGTTAAATACCGCATAAGTCTTTTTTCGCACAACTTGATCACAAGGTGGATATATTAGTCTGAACTCTGCCCCTAAAGTACTAATCTTCTTCAGCATCACTATACTTACCGATTAAATTACAAAGCATGGTGTGCAGCTGCACATTAAAACTTCATACCATCCGCAATCATATATAATTTTTCCGTTGCATGTGCGTGTTGGAGACTGAAATCTGAATTCCTAATTGACAACACCGGTTCCAATTTGACTAAGCAAGTACAAATTGGTGAAAACATGCCAACTAGCCGAAAATGACAATTTTTCAGCAAAATTTCATCATCATCATCGACAGCATGGCATAAGTGTTCAACTCTGATGCTTCACTGCCGCACAACCATGATTTATTTGAAAGCCTTATTGTAAAGAAAAGAGAAAAGGTGGACGGGGAAGGGACTTAGTGCTGGCTTATCACAGTCATTTCGAGGTGCCTATACCTCCAGACACCCATTCAGACGATCTGGATGGAAACTGTCGACAAGAACGCCACTGACATGGGTTGGTAGCCATATCTTGTAGTGTCTCCAATCAGGCATAGTGAGGATCACGCGGTCCCCATCCTGGAAGGCGAGTAGCACCGACAGCACCCAAGCGTTTCGTGATCTCCTTCATACTGCTCTGCCAAGACAAGGGTTGGCCATCTCTCTGTTTACACCACCATGAATTGGGCATGGAAAACAGCACTCTCTTCGGCAAACGATTGTTGGGCATATGCAACACATGTTTAACCAACGCAGCTTCCGATGTTGGATACATTCTTCAATGGAAGTACTCGTTGCACAACCGAAAACGTGCTTTCTAACTGGCTCATTACGAATTCGCCGACACCAACCCACACGAACTACGGTTCTGAGACAACGATTGTCGAACACCTGAAGACGTCTCAGTTCCGCTGCTTAAGTTTAAAAATTAGCAGCAGACAGTGTTCCAGGAATGGATCAGGCTATTAGTTGAATGATTTTTCCATGGACTGGCTTGCGAGGTCTGAAAGCGCATACGCACAGGAATGGGCTGTCATTGCGCTGCTCAGTTTGGTGCCCTGTCTTGCGTTATCAGGTTTTTCGTTGTCTAAGAATTTTTATGTGCTAAGACTACTCCTTTTGACATAAATCTCAAGCGTTTATTTGTTTTTGTGCAAGCGATCTTTTCTACAAACATTATTGTAATTGATCATTCCAAATCTTTCGGTAATTGCGGTCGATCTAAAATTGGCCAAGTGTTTTGAGTTACTCACCCAAACACATAAATCACAGTCAAATGAAGACCATCAAGGTTTTTTACTGTGTCTTTTGCTGCGTGTACTTTTTGGCCACCTTCCTCTCCCGAAAACCGTTTACGTATCCTACATTTAACGTCTGAGAAACCAGATGGACTCAAATACAGTTGATTTAACACCATCATGATTCAATGGAAATGCTTCAAGTATGGAACGTCCGCTGAATGAATTTATCAATACAAGTATGTGTTACAAGCTTCAGAATTCCAATACTGAGCACTCAATCCGATGCCATGCAAGGAATGCGTACGATGATGTCGTAAAAAAGGCTTTTCAGTGTTCAGTAAAGAAGGGATCTTACCTCTTTGCGGTAGATAACAACCCAATTAATCGGAGTGAACCATCTGTGACACTTGATATCGTTAACACCATTTTTCAAATTTCCGAATCGCTTGGTTAGATCCGTTTGAAGCAGTTGTTTCAACAAGTTCTTTAGATCACTGCTGACGTGCCCCGGGAATCGGACCTATGAAAATCGTATGTGATCCGTATTAGCGTAAGATTTTACTGTAGATTTAGTAGGTTAGAACACTTTTAATTGTATACATATACGCCCAGGATACCTTCGGAAAACTTCGTCTCATAGATCAGACTTAACGTTACTTTAAACCTCGTTACATTTGGTGCGTTACGTAAAGCCGTTACTTGAAGCCTTTCAGATATGCATGCAGACATCAACGACATTGCTGCTCCGCATTGCTGACAGCATTCATGAGGACGAAACACTCATTTGGTTGAAATTTCCAAGCAACATCCCCGTTTTTATCCTCTGATGAAATTTCCTGCTTAGCTGGGAATTCGCCGAAGTTCTTGCAAGGACGAATTCCTGGTAAATTCATTAAAAATCGCGATTAACTAGCTGCAGCCGGTTCACTTCGTAAATACAGTCTACTACGAATTGGTTGAATAATCAAGCTTGTGCAGTGGGATCATTCAGAGAAAATTTCATAGCATTCATTTTCGAATCCACATGCGGAATAGAAATATGCCTAGTGAAACTCAACAAACTCTTTCAAATGTATTTAATGGCCCATAAGTTTGGCGCATGTGCTGTGTTGATGGTTCGCTTAGCGAAATATCCAGCAAAATATAGATTAATTCCCGTTTCCGATCGGTATACAGCACGTGCACGCTGTGCATATTTTGGTTTCCGTCCGTAGACCCTGGACAACCTACAACCGTTGCCATCGGGGTATTGGAAAATAATCGATTTGTCACGGCAAAAAAATAAGCGGAATGGCTGAGATTGGTTTTTAGAATGTACTTCTAGGCGTGCGCTGGCATTCCAGCCAACTGCGATGTTACCATTGAGGTGATGTTTACTTATCAAGGTATCTTCATATGACAACTAGACATATGGTTGATATAATGTTATTGTGAACCACTGGTATGTAAAGAATAATCGGTTGAGCAGTCACTTGATAGTTTTCTGACAATAGGTCATAGAGAAACGAACCACACCAGGATTCATATTCATCATCCGGAAGACGGATCACTGGTACAGGAAATTTTTCAGCCTCGTCTATAACTGATCTAGATGGTCTCGAAATTTGTAAAACTTGCATTCATGTCACTCTCGTTTCAAAAGCTCCCTCTCATCCTACAACATTATATCTTGCCGCGCCCATATAAGAAAGAAGGGAGCAGTATAAAATAACCAGAATGATTGCGTCGAAACACAAAAAGAACTGTTCCAACGACCTTGAGATGGATGTAACTCCAGCGCCACTTTCAAATGACACCAACTCGCTACTGTACTATCGTCAGCAAGGTGTGGTTTTTAGTTCAGTCAACGGAAGCTTCCTGCACAGGCGGATAGATAAACTTTGTTGAAACCACTGTTTACAGGCAACAACCCACGCAATAAAACTCAGCTCTGTGGCTGACAGTCATAACATAGTCGGCGAAATCAGCTGCGTCAAATTCACAGTCACCTGAATTTTCAAGGTCAGTAAATTATCTTATTTGTTTTCTTATCCTGCATCCAGATTTCTGTCCTGGACAAGATAAAGAGAAAAGTAAATATATTTTATCATTGCTTCGTGTAAGTCGTCACCCGAGTCAAGTACAGTGTACATTTTGAAATGATACCCCTCATTTCTGTGAGTGATCGAGTGGTGTGCGACGGATGGTGGCGGATTGTCACAGCGGATCTGCCAATTATCAAGTCACTCACCTGAATCTCACCTGAGTTCCTGAGGCAAAAAAATAGTTGTATAAAGATACTGCTCAATCTAAAGCCTTTCTTGTCCTTACACTCAAAATGAAGCCAGTAATGAACCCGTTCGCTCAATAGATGGAAAATGTAGGGTAGAAAATCTTTACGACAGGCAATTAAGCCACGTGACTCATTATGACTGGAGCCACTAGATGAGTCCTTACGACGAAAATAGAAGTCATGTAGCTGGAAGTTCTGAAAAAAAAACGCATTTCACACGATTCTACATTTTTTTAATTAAGACTCGGATAACGAAGGTCCACTAAAAGGAAGAGAGTATTTAGTAAAAAGCTTAAAAATATGAGCCATTGATTGGTGTTTCAAATGAGGTTTGTTTTCAACACACCTGGGTACTCAACTCAGACTTAATAAAGAGTTTCTCATACCGTCCAGTTCCTTTGACAGCAGCTAAAAAAGAGCCTTATTGCTTGCCTTTTTTACGGCGAAAGAGAGCTCTTGGGAGAATGTGGGACTCACCTTTCCGGCGACAATCTTCTCATAGATTTGAATTGGTTGATCAGCGAAAAATGGCGGGTATCCACAGGTCATTTCGTAAATTAGAATTCCTAATGCCCACCAGTCAACCGCTTTATTGTAACCCTGTAGAAATTAGACGTACAAATTGACTTGAAAATCTGAGAATTTCCGCAGCAAATCAAAGCACAAAATAAATTGTTATTGTCTCACTTTGCTAAGAATAATTTCGGGTGCCAGGTATTCTGGCGTTCCACACAACGTCCAAGTGCGCCCGCTTATTCGTTTTGCAAAACCAAGATCGGTAACCTGAATCAGAATAAGTAGAGTAATCAGAAGATGATGAGAGAAAATGTATGGTATCGATAGCTTCTGCTCAGTAGTTTGTTCTCATTACCTCCGAATATTGCATGCAACAAGAATGTATTCCGAAAAGACGTATGCAAGTAGTGCCTTTTATAAGATTTAATTTCCGATTTCGGGTGTGAGTACTATCATCAGACTTTGCGCGGAGACACCTCGTCAACTATTGGCAACAAGAAATTTTACTGGGAATTCAACTAGACTCTAAATTGAGTTCCATCCTTTTGGAACTGGAATAAAGCGCAATGGTAATATGAAAGTTATCTTATATCACCTTCAGCAAATTAGACATGGTCTTTTGTTGCTAGAGTGGTGATCCTCAGATGAGAACATTAATGAGCAGAGGCAAATATCAGTTAGTCTGTTTAATGTTGGTAATCGCATGTGAATTAAAGTCAACGTAATTTTGTTAGACGTTGAATGACTGGGGCATTTTTATATTTTACTTCCACCTCGCTTGAGTAGCATTGTCGGCTATACAAACAACACTGCTCACATACATGTATTTTCTCACCTGCGGACATTGACAATCATATTTCAAAAGTAATCAAAATCATTTCATTCCTCCACTTGATCAACGCGGCTAACAGTTTTGTTGTAAATGAGGTTTAATGAATTACGAAAAATCCTGACTTTCACATTTGCCTTCTGTATCTTACCACCGAAAAAGATTAGATAAGAAAATAACGTTACTTCAGGAAATGATGTTTCTCCCACTGAGTAGTTTGAGTTCATTCTGTATGCACGCATTCTACCAAAGTTCCTCATAATTGGTTGCAAAACCGCCCAAATGCTTGTGAGCAATCGCACAAATCCCACTTGACTTCAAACCCTCCCCCGGAACTAAATTGTCGCAGCACTCACAACCCAAAAAAGACCAAGGAAAATGTACCAATGGCACCCGAGGTGGAAGCATCCTGAAGCGGAAGTTTAACAAACCAAGCCCGATCGGAATTAATTTGAAACTCCTCTAATCCACCGGAGCTAGATTTCGACAGCCACACTGACCGACAAGTGCCGTTAATTGACACCCAACACTGATCTAGTGTGGTAATCTGGAGAGGACTTACTGATTGGTTCTCCGTCTGTCTTATTACCTGGCCCATTTGGTAGCCTTCTCACTTGGCCTGATGAAGCTTTTGTGTCATAAGCGAAACGCTGCCCAAATAAAGACAGTTGATTGTTTACCAAGCCATTCTGAAACAATCACACAATGTTGTAAATCACTTACTTTCAGATATCCAGCGCTATCAATCAGCAAGTTTTCAGGTTTCAAGTCTCGGTAGACAAGGTCGAACTTGGCCTGTGAAGCTTTTGTGTCATAAGCGAAACGCTGCCCAAATAAAGACAGTTGATTGTTTACCAAGCCATTCTGAAACAATCACACAATGTTGTAAATCACTTACTTTCAGATATCCAGCGCTATCAATCAGCAAGTTTTCAGGTTTCAAGTCTCGGTAGACAAGGTCGAAAGAATGGAGGTATTCAAAAGCAAGGACCACTTGGCTGGCATAAAAGCGAGCATCCTCTTCACTGGAGAAGAAAGAGAAGCACTGTCTTAGATACACAATTGAAACTTTGAGAGAAATACTGGCAAGTCGAGAAGGTTATTGGCTTGTTTAACCTCTGCACAGTGTGAAAAAGCAGCCACATTGCCAGTGAGGAAAAAATAGTCAAACAGAAGAAAAACCTCGCCAGAAATCTGAGAAAACATAATTAGTGAGAACCTAACATTTATCTATTCCATCCGTCATCCCCGGGATATGAATGTGTATGTTCTTGACCAGCTAACGAAGATAAAAAAAGTGCGAAAAAAGCGGAGTAGTTGGAATTCGGGGTTCTGACTCAATACATTTTTTGTCGTCTTTGTCTTGCAAATATTGACATTGGAGATGTTTGATTGCTCATTCGAGTGGTGTCTGATCGTCCAAGGATGACGAAATAATCTGTGACAAGCACATATCTTGCAATCGACAGTGATAGGTTTTGGCTTATAATCTGATCATCAGTTGATTGTGTCACACGAAATGTGGTGTGATCTCTGCAACACCGTGAGAATGCAATTAAACTGATAAGTGACGTGAACTACAGAAAGACGTCCACTTACAGCTGGCTAGCTCGTCTGAGACACGGTTAACTGGCCTATTTTCTTGTGCGGCCGCGGATGTAATAACTATGGTTTGGTGCTTGCAAATATGTGTTCTCCGACAGAAGCATCAAGGAATATATTAACTGAGGCTGTTGTAAGAGGGATCCTGGTAACAAGGAAATGTAAGAAAACAGTAGGAACCACTTATCAAGATGTGTCGATTGGAGAACTTACTTTCTCCCCATGATGGCGCTTGTAACAAGGCAACAAACCATCTACATGTTGCGTGGCTGCAAGCGTTTTACCTTGGGTTCAGGGGTTGCCTACTATGTAACATGGCCGAAGTATAGTTTTCTGCTATGACGGGTTCTAGGTAATACTGATTTATTTGGGAAAATGAAATGCTAATTATAACTATATCATCTGGACCTGCAGATATCTGTGATTCGCGGGCATTCCGAGCGATTAAATATTATAGTTATTCACCTGCGAGCAATATGACTACACGACTATTGCGAATCTGAGGCGAAATGTCATGTAGACAAGTTGTAGCGAGAGATGGAGTTGCTGTGTACAAACTATGACCCTAAAAATACGAATAACAATCGCTAATGCAACAGAAGTGAGCTTGTTCTTTCGGAGAATAGGGTGCCTTAATTTGCATTTCATTAGTGGCATTAGGGTGATGGGCTGAGACAGGACTGATTACGCTGCATCTTTCCGCCCCCTCCTTGTGAAGACTTTATATGCCCAGGTGTACGATCTGTGAACTGCTTCGCTGTTGACTAATGGCGCTTTCATCACAGGAGTAGACAAACCGATGGATACATACTAAGGTGATCTGAGGAGGGCCTATATTTTGGCTTTGATAAGATGGATGTTGTAGGTAACATCCAAGTGCTTTGCACGGAACGTTTTAGTAGGTAGTTTCTAGAAGTCGACTCACCGGTATCCCATTCATAACGATACATTTGAATGGGAGGCGGGGGAAATGTAATTTAGATTTTCCCTCTGTTTAAGAGAAAGGTTTCTGGCATGCGCGTTGTTAGGATGCGCGCTTTAAACCGTTCATTCCTTCCTCCTGAATGTTTGTTGAGTAGACCTTTACCGCTCCATCACACAAATAATACACTGGTTTCTTAAAGGCAACGGCTCACAAGGTTACTGAAAACTATTCGGCATCCCACGGCCGGTTTCGTCCTTCTTGGGGCTCATCAGGTAGGCGCAGTCCCCGAGTTTCCGTCAACCTTATGTTCTACTTGAACCCAAATTGCAATGTTCTCGAGAAATACACTCGTTTGCAAATCAATTTGGTTTTCACGAGAGACTCAACGGAATCTCTCGTTTATGATATTCTACAACTGAATGTGCTGCACGCAGGCCGCCTCATGTTTCTGTTGACACGATATTCGAGATATTGTAGTATATTTCCATGAAGGCAACTACTCACAAGGTTGCTGAAAGCTCTTTGACAGCACAGTGAATCGTAATTTCAACCAGTTAGGTAACAACTGGTACACTTACTAATCATTAGTCTGATAAAAATTAATGCGCAATGCCTGTCAGTTGTCTCCATCATGGTTTTCACTGATGTTTAAAACTAAAAATAGGTTGTTGCTTTGGTCACTTAGAGGGCTTGTGCCAATCGAGTGAATTCTGACGCAATCTGTGAACTTTAACTGTATATGTGATCCGGCTTTTCTTTAGTTGCTCCAAATGTAAGCATACACACGACGACATTATTTTTTCCACCAAGTGACATTCTGACCAGAGCGAAACCATACACAACCCAAAAATGTCAACGTTTTTTTATAAATCACTCTAGAGATTGAGGCTACAAAAACCCCTAATCGATCGATCGTCCGCGTCACAAGGACATATGAATGCGACAAGAATTTACTAGTTAGAACTTTAAATGGCCGTTCAATATCCGTTCGTTCAACCAGAGACTTAACCTTTAAGAAAAACATTCCGCGTTCATTTGTTCATGCACATAAACCGGTAAACTTTTGGGTTGATCGCACCTAAAATATCGGATTTGGTCCGCAAAATGACATAAAATTCAACAAGACTGAATTTGTAGTTGTAGCATTTACGTTCAGTAATCTAAGGAAACAAAAACACTCTAGTGGTATGGGAAGTATAGCTTTAATATTTTTAAACGGGGAGAATTTAAATTCCCAGTGTTACAACCAAATCAGTTCATCTGAAAAGGCACTGTAACATAGATTTTCGGTGACCCACAAGGGGGTTTTGTTATAAGAGAGCAATACAAATTAATAGAAAAGCTTTGTCTCTCTGGTTTTGGTTCCTAGTTATGGAATTCTGAAGGAACGAAACAACTGAAGTAGCAAGTCAGTTCAAGTCAAGTCACATTTATCCAGAATCTTAGGCAGTTCTCCAAAAATGTTAGGAAGGTCTTGTGATTTGGAACCGCAATCTGCTCGTTACGGCTCATTATTGACTCTGTACGTGGTACGGTTGTTAATTACAGTGACGGCTATTACTTGTTTGTTAATGGAAAATTTTTGCAGCTTTACAGGTGTAGAGTATAGGTGAATTTGTGAGCGTCGGTAGCCCCGTTGCTGCCTCCATCGGTTCAACGGGTACGACTCATGGATCTTCTGCTCGTTTACTGAGAAACGTGCCCACCTGAACATACTGAACACTGGTGACAATTCCACACTCATGGCCTGACCGGTTTCACTTGCCATTTACCACACCGAAAGGTCATGCTTCTCTGTGCCTGCTTGGGCCAGCATGCCTTGTCCACTTGCAGGATGGACGTGTGGAAAAACTTCTGATCCGAACTGGTGGTAGGAGGAGGAAAATCACAACGGCATCATTCCCGTACGACTCATTCTAAATGGTCAACACCATACCACCTAGTTTTTAGTTGCTGTAAAGAACATGTACCCTACCTTAACTAGTGGAAGAACTTGAGCTTTTGCTTGTTTGTATAATCTGTACCAAAATGGTTAGACGAGTTGTTACAGTGAAACGTTCCGGTGAAAATTACATAGATACATGAAATAAGCTGTAGTAATCCTAACTTTCTTGTCACCACAGATAATCTTCCTAGAGGGTCTGTACAATCAAATTGTCTCCTGGGAGAATGACGCACGATCCGAATGAATCGTCATGGAACCAATTTGGTGTATGGTTCTGATGAGCACTAGCAGGCATTTTGGTAGTCTGTGTATGTGTTTGCTTGTCTGACGTGCCGCGATTCGTCGATTTCACCAGATCAGGCCAGTTGAGATTGTGATTAGTTTAATGAGCTGATGTCAGTCAGGATTGGACATTTACATGGGATATATCCACCTGTTTAGTTGCCAGATCAACCCTACTCAGATGGAATACAGATCGCTTCTATCCCTGGCATTGATACAAGTATTATGACACTGGTGGAATGTTCGAGTGTTTTTTTCCAATAGTCTTATCATCCGACAAGGAATGGGGTATGGTATGTTCAGCAATCCTTATTTGTAGACTGAAGATTTACCTGATATTCTGTGCAGGGCATTCCTACACGTAATATGTTGAAGTTTTATTCAGATTCTATAGTTCAGTTGACTGCTTTTATCTGAAGTGAGTTTAACCATGCCCAATGTCACCAATGACGTGCTGGTCGGGTTGAAGTGCAACTAATTTCGCAGCACAGATAGTTACTGTTCGCTTCTGGAAGTGGAGGATGTATTGCTGTCTTGCTTCTGATTTCGGTAGACTTTCATTCTCAAAGATAACGAAAGTTCCTTCTCGTCCATCTGTCACTTATTGTTGGTGAAAAGCATTCGCTATCAAATGGAGTGTATGATCCATTTGATGTCCGGTGGTAGGGACTGTTCAAACATCCGTAAAAATAAGCGACTTTCAGGCGTATATGTCTGACCATATCAGTGCGTGGGTTTTTCTTTGAAAACCTAAATGAAAATCTCAATTGGCATTCCAAGTTTGTCTAAGTTTACAGTTTAAATTACTCTACAAAAGTACGTCGAACTTGAAAACGGGTTTTGCACACTGCTGTGCTCGGACGATCCAGTACAGAAGGACGTTCTCGTTGTTCATCCCAGAATGCCTTTTCTATCCCACATTCGTAGAGATCTCAATGATTTGTTTGAAATTCCTTCTACGAGGCCCTTGAAAATTCCAGCTCTAGATGAATGATGACTCTACTAGAAATCAGGTCAAAATTACAGAAGGGGATGCCACATTGTTAGCGTCGTGCGATAAATTTCAAGTTTATGAAGATTTAGTCGGGTACAAATTAGTAAATCCGGGAAACAACTGCACTGGAAGGAAAATAGTATGTCTTTAGGGTAAGTTTTGGGATCTGTACGAACCGCTTAGTGCTCCTGCGCACAAACTATAAAAATTTGTAACAACCGCACATTCTCATGCATGCCGATTAGCAAATTCTTACCAGGGTTAGAAGATAATATTAGTTTCCCCAGCTTACACATCAAGGAACAGAAAGTGGTGCAGATAAAAAAAGCGCAACAGCTACTCACCTAAATTTTCCCACTCGACGAAGATAAGAGAACATTTCTCCTCCACTGACGAAATCCAGTACCATGTACAGATTGGTGTTGTCCTAAAATTCATTAGAATCACCATGGGAAATTGCATTAATGTGACGATGAGAAATGGGCGGATGTCCTTTAACTAGTTACCTGACTAGGTGCTGATAGATGGTCGTCTATTCACAGTCCATTAGAGCAATAAGAGACGAAGATAGCATAAACTACCAAGATCAGTGTAGGAAGGTTTAATTTTTCTTTTGTATGCTGAAGCTGCAAAAAAAAGAAACTGAAATTTGACTAAGTATTCATCCCAACAATTTTTTTGCTTGATAAATATGACATAATACCACTAGCTTCCTTAAATTATCATATTAATCTCTACGGAACGCGTAACGCAAAGTTCTTTAGCAGATGGAAATAACTTATTTTGGCCAGTCAGAGCAATGAATTGTAAATCGCAGAATGTGTAATCTATTGTACTTTACAGGCAGTTGATTTCGTGATTCAATCCCAACTGCCCAGCTAACGGATCGCTTGTTGGACACAGGAGAACTGATTAAATGTTTGGCCGATCTGTAGTTGTGGGATTGTGTTGCATACGACAGAGGCCTTAAAAAACTACGCAGTGTGTTACAACTTGTTTGATTAGTTTAGTTGAACTCAGTGGGGTACAAGAGGCGGTATGGGATGATTGAGCACTCTCTTCATCCGGATTCTGACTTGTAATTACGTAATATACTTCATGATTTCACTAGCATTAAGTGAAGGAACAGGTAATTTACATCCGTCGAGCGTATGAGCTACGATTTAAGCTCCGTAAAGAGTGGACTAGACGCCCAGATTTAGGCACATTTAGTGCTTCACATGTAGAATTTTCTAATCTTGTAATTTTGATTATTCTAAGGTCCACTGTAAGGTTTGATTTTAGGTAGCCACGTAATGACATCTAAATTATTAGTCATTATTTTTGCTGAGTTCTCACATTTGGAATGCTACAATCCAGCTTCACAGGTCTATTTTGACTACGGCGTCCTTTGTGAAGGTAATGTAGGATTGAGGCTGCCCACGGTTACTTCCGAAATCCCCAAGTAATATATGTTCGTAGTTCACAACATAACCTCCGTAGTTAACCGATATGTGCAAGTGATATATTTTGGTTTTTTGAATGCTTCCTTTGGTGTCAGATTAGTCTGAAAGACTCAGAAATAAGCTCAATTATATCTTCCCCTGAAGGATTTAGTGTAGAAAAATCCGCTCCTGCATGCGGTTTTTTGTACTTGCTCTGTTCGTGTTTTATGGTGTGTAAATTTATAGTCTGTCGGTTTTTTCACTCATCAAAAATCCGTATTTTAGGGGCACCTCCCCGAAGAACTTTACAGCCCACTCGACCAAAGCTAAACTGGAAAGTGCAGGAGATAAAAGATGTTCAAATGTTGCCTGCGGTTCTACCATATGCAGAACACCCAAAGATAGGGTTCTTACCTCCATGTGGAATTTGAGCAAACTTGATAAACAGTCCGATTATCCCAATTCGCCATTTTCATTTCGTTTTTGGAGCAATTGATCCTTAAGGTATATAATTTGCCAGTCTCTCGAAAGTGGCGAGCGCCCTGCAGCTTATCTTGACGGTTTGCTCGTACTACTAATTTGAGCTATTCATGTTAAAGATATTCGAGTGTGAAAATTTAAACGACAAAAACAAAAACAATTGTGTTCTCACAGCTTTTGTCTTTTCTTTTGCAATTAGGCTGCTTGAACAGGTAATTTATACAGTAACACAAAGACGGTCTTTGTGCTTGTCTGCTAATATTACCAGGCTTTATCAGGAGTTTCATTGGAGAAAATAATAAGGATACATTTGTCGGTCGGCTAGCTGAATGTGCGGTTTGCTTTTCTGAAAAATAATCCAAAATAAAGCCAACATATATAACTCTGCATGCTTTCTAACGGACTTTCTGAGGCTAAAGCGGAATACATCCCTCAAAAGTAAACTAATCCGTTCTGAGACGTGTCCCACTCACAAAAATGGTATGAGGCTATGGTGAGGTGTCACTGCCTATATTAAACAGACTAAATCCTTGCTGTTAGTATGTTCACTCGTCTGCAATCTTAGGTTACACTCAGTCCAATGCCGACTGATTTGATCCAATCACGAAGTTTAACCCTATGAATTCCGCTAAAACCGTAACCACCCCTCAAAACAAAATAACGGCAAATTCAGCAACATGAACTATCAGGATTTTCCTTATTAGGAGAATCCTGACTGTAGGTTTCTAAAACACATACTATTGTCCTCACCTTGAAACTATAGGCCATGCCGACAACAAAGGGGAAATTAATGGCCTGAAGAATTGTTTTCTCATTCATTGTGTGTTCAACTTGTTTGAGCTTTACCACCTGAAACAGGAACAGTATGCACAAAAAAGGGATTTATGAAATCTTTTCAACAGGTCAACTTATACACAACAATTACCTGTGCCTACAGAATCCATTGGATGTGGTTTATTAACGGTTGTCGTCAAAGTTAGTTTAAAAATGAATTTTTTTAATTATGTAGCAAAAGTTGCGCAGCTTCCTTGGATAAAGCCCAATTGTCGAATCCAAGTCATCCATTAAGACATAGAGTGAGCTTTCTGAATAAGAACTTAGCAAGTTATTACTTTGATAGCCCGGTGGCATGAAGAACCCGATTGGAGGTTAGTTTCGGGTGACCGAATGCTTCCGGTCGCTTCCCGGAAAAAGGTTGCCAGAAATGACAGACCTAATCAATCTCATCATCATCATTATCGACAGCATGACAAATGACAGACTCAATCTCATCATCATCATTATCGACAGCATGACATCAGCGTTCAACACCGATGCTCCACTGTCGTACAACCATGACTTACTTATTTGCTTTATTGTAAAGAAAAGAATAAAGGTGGATGGGGGAGGGACTTAGTGCTAGCTTAACACAATCATTCCGAGGTGCCTACACCTCCAGACATTCACTCAGACAATCTGGA